AAGCACGCCAACATCAAGTCAGTAGAAGTCGACACGGTTGTTACCATGCTAGTAGGAGTGGTTGGATAATTTTCTTCTACATAAATAACCATGATTATTCTAACTGGATGGCCAAGGCTGCATAAGCGCAAAAGAGACTAAAGCTTATTGCTTTTGGAAGGTTGTTTTTTCACTCTATAGATCACTTTGAAGGAGGCGTTAGTTGAGTTGACTAGTGTTGGCGAGATGTTCGACTATTGCACTGGTTATAAAACCACTATTACCTTTTTGTAGGAAATGAACACTCATTGTAAGTCTTAAAATAAGTTCGATCACGGAGGACACAGAAACGCCGATGTCTAAATTTTGTTTACTAATCTCATCACATATAAAATCTACTGTCTCAGTCAGTGGTACATTAGTGAACAAGAAGAATATATCAGGAGATGTTATAAACTTCACAAGTCATTCACATTTTGATGTGGTTTTGTTCTCTGAGCTGGATGGTTAGTTTGCGAAGCTTTCATCACCTTACTGGGTGACATCTTCAGCGCATACTTCAAATTGAAGTATGCGCTGAAGATGTCACCCAGTAAGGTGATGAAAGCTTCGCAAACTAACCATCCAGCTCAGAGAACAAAACCACATCAAAATCATCCACCTGAGCTACAAATCTTCTCTATCATATCATTCACATTTAGATCTCTTATTCTCTCAACATATTCAAAACTGTTTTCTACACTTTATTTCATCAATTAGTTCGCTGTTGTGTGGCATGGTAAAGTGTTGAGTACTGTATTAAAAAGCTATATATGTTAGAGTGGAGCTAGACATGAGGATCAGAGTGAAAAGTGAACACTTCTAAAACAACTTTCAGCATGTCGCAAAAGCTAAAATGATCTGCACTCTATGTCCTCATGATGACCTCAACTCATTTAATGACAGAAATATCTAAATTGATTCAGGTCAAGAATTACTTTCAGAAGTAGTCGGGAAAATATTTCATTCCATTTTCATTATAAGGAAACTATGCACGTCAACAATTTCAGTGAAAACACAGAGTGTAAGCAGTATCACTACTCATCAAGAATCTTCAGTTGAATATGCTTCGAACTTTTGTAGTGATGCTATTGCATCAAAAACTCTTATGATAATGAATTAATGCACGGACAACCTGTCTTAAATTATAACGTCTTTAAAGTGCCTTAATAACCTCGAATAAAACAATCAGAACTGCTTTTAAAGGATAAACTAGATTCATTTTGTTTGACCAGGTTTACACCAGACACATACAAATCGAGTAATCAGACGCGAAAGTGATTAATTAGGCGCGATTCAAGTTATCTGTTGTTGACGGAAACTTCATAAAGTAAAACCAATTCCTCTGGTCCTGCAAGAGCATTATTCATTTTTTTAAAAAGTGTTTTGACCACAAAGTCGTTTTAAACACTAAGCAGAGAAGTTGCTTGAAGGCAATGAGGATTTCTAGACTTTACTAACCTGAAATTGATAAGCAGTGTTATTGTAAACTTGGCTTCAATTTGGTTGGGGATTTCTGAAGTAGTTCTCAAAAAGACTGATCAGTTCCTGTGTTGTTCATGAGAGTTAGATAGTGGAAATGTATCTACAGAGAATATGAGCAGGATTATAGGAATAAACGAGTGCACCCCACATCGTATGAGTAATTTAGTGTGTAAGATGCGCGTAATTTTCAAAGCTATCTTCGGTGTGATTTACTTGACTCTTCAATAAAATAACAGCATCATCGTCACAATTATGTAATGGCAAATAAACCGAGAAGCCAGTTTGTTACCAGCCAGAGTTTCTTGTTGTTCATTATTTCTGGCCAACCGGTCATCTGATCTTCAGTATGGAGCCACTGAAGGCAGTCGTTGATAAAAGTCTGTAACTTGGTGTAAATCCATCTTGTGATATGCACGCGAAGTTTGTGATCCATTAGAAGAAGTGACTGACTTACTTCACTGACATTTGTGTTGAACATACGAATCTTGTTCTTTAGGCCGTAGACTGCAGAAGGTATTCAAACTAGTTTCAGGTTGATGAAGGCGTATCCTGCCTTTCCTATTCTAGCTGGCTTTGACATCTGCATTAGTTCCGTCTGCCTGTGGTTGAAACAATGTTTCCCAGAAAAAGTAAAGGAAGTGACCTCTTTCACGTTTTGCTTGTTGATGGCAATTGATTATTATCCCCTGGTTTCTGAGTGGAATATAGGGTCTTAATAGCACATCTGCATTTCACCCTGTTTCTCTGGCTGTATGAACGCCTATAAACTTTCATCTCCTCCTATGAAGCCCTTCCTCAAAAGGAAGTGAGGAATCATTAAAATTACTTCGTTTTCAACTCTAAGTTTGAAAATACTGTAGGAACAGTTGGTATTCTATCTTACTTTATTGTCCAGTATTCTTTCATTCGATTATACAATAAAACCCAGTGAAAAACTACTAAGATTTCTTGTGCTTAGAAAATGCTGACTGTTGTCATGAGGTGTTTAAATGTTTGACATATTTGATCTCATGCTTTTTTTTTGATCGTCTCAATTTATCTAACAAAATCTCAGAGTAAACTGTGACGGTCAGCCACTTAGCACCTTATCCAGATTTCGAGCTTGACTGACGGAATTCAGTCTGCATCAAACAAAGGCCTAGATGCATAACATTAATTAGTGTCCAATCAAAATATCCATAACATTCCTACATGATGTCAGTCGTCAGCTCGGAGAGCTCAATAGTAATGTCTCTGACTACAGTAGTGGGTGACTTGGGTTCGAATCCTAGGAGGAACATGAGTTCTTTCGATTGTCAAAAAAGTGTGTAACTTCGTTCCAAGGTTTGCCGAGAATTACCTCTAATCATCTAACAGAACTAATATACTCGTGCTTGCAACTGTGCTGTGTGAAATTCAAATGACTGCTCAACTCCTTAAAAATCACTCATTATTCAGCATTCATCAAATATTTAAGTAAACTTTAAACTTTTAATGAAGACGATTCGAAAACCACTAATTGGAAGCATACAGAAGACTCAATTGGATAAACTTTCACTGGAAAATAGCGTCAACTTTAGAACAGCTACCTACTTTTAATCTGTAGAATAAATTACCACAGCTTATCTAGATGTCTGCCAATCAGAAAGAGACTTCAGGTTGTACACACCTATTTGATGTACACTTCGCTGATGAAATACAGTAAGGCCAGTGAGTTTGGAAATTCTCATGATAAATATTAACTACTCATGAATAGTATTGTGAGCAAACTATGAAAAAAAATATAAGAGAGACTCTTCCTTTAAATGTAAAGTAGCTTCATGTTTAAGCAAATAATCTAAATATAAAAGGCTAATTCAAGCATCAAAATATTATCTGTTAGTGTAGTGTGAAGTACACATTGTATATTCCTCTAGCACCTATTTTTTCTTTGCCCTTGAAGAATATTTCTGTCCTACTGAAAAGTAATTTCTTGAGTAAGATTCATCGCACTACGAAACGCAAATGTCTTTACTTCACAGAACTGCATTACTTCTCATACGGAAGCTGTAGAAATTTCTAGCCAGTTTATAATGTCATGCTGATCACACAACAAAATGAGTTTCTAATGGTTGACAAATATGGCTGACCATGAGAACTATTAGCACATTCTTCTGAATGAACAAGGAATTTTCCTAGTTTTGGTGACTGTTGAAGACATTTGGTTGCATGTTATTTTTCTCATATTGGTAGACGTTCGAAAGCATTTTCCTAGTGTTTTAGTGTGGTTGAGAATTGTGTGACGTTGGTCTGGCTGGTTTGAGGCAATCGATTAAATGGGGATTTATAAAAACAAAACAAAATAATTCAGCAAAGAATATCCTTTTCGATAATTTCCTCTTCTTCTTGCTCTACAACTATACACATATGTTTATATACAAAGAATATTCAAGAATAGTAGTCAATAACAATATTGGTGTTTTTTTAAATAATATCCCTTTGTTAAGTAAGACCGATCGATTTACAGTTCTTTGAAGATGCTTGAATTATAATAATAATAATAATAACAAAAATATAGTAGCAAAACGAATGTCTACTAAAATTAAGGAAATTTCTACAAAAAGTTGAAGATCATTCAAACCCATATAGCCAAGGTAAGGATAATGTCTGAGCTAGCTTCTTTTGGACGCACAAATTAGGCTTCTTAATATGGATATCAACAGCCAGCCTCAGCAATATTTAGAAGACGAACTCTTAAGGAGAAGTTACGGTTTGTTGGTATGTGGTGAATGACTTTGAAAGCCACATTGACATAAGTCTTGTGTTCTGTATCCATAAAATGAGGTGGAATAGCGCCACGAATGGATCTTGTTTGTCCTTCTCCCATTTATTCGCGTTCCAAGTGACAGATGGGACTCCAGACTTGATGTCATGACGTTTCAGTGGTGGTGATGTTTTCACAGCGTGGGACTTTGAATGGGCACTTGAAACTAGTATGGTGTGTCTAGTCCTTTGTTTGGTGCAGACTGAATTCTGTCTGTCAGGCTTGCAATGTGGCTGCCAGTCTAGGTAGCTCAGTGGTAGCATTTCTGACTGCTGGTAGTACTGGGTGACTCAGGTTGGAATCTCAGAAGGGACACGAGTTTTCTCTCAAGGTCTCAGACACGACTTACCGACAGGTGACTTTTAGCACGAAACCTAGGTGCTGTTGATGGCCTCCGAACATCTAATAACTATTGGCTAGTAAACTAAGCAACTTCTAAGAGTACATCGGCCGGCTTTCGCTTAGTTTGCGAGTATTCTAACAAAGAACCATCAAACTTCATCAATCTAGACATCAATTCTGGTGTAATTTCCTAATGCTTCATAAATTGTTAATGGCTTCTCTCTACCTAGTGATCGAGACTAAAGAAAACTGAAGCGAAATATGATGTCAGCAATTTGATTATTTTCTGAGTCGTATCATTAGAATTTCCAAGATTTAATTTGTACACTTTATTCACTCAGTTTCATCGTGTTTATTGTTTTTCTGTTTACAGACGCCTATTGTATTTACACTACAAGTGAATTCGTGTTTTGATATTTTTGTCACTGTGTATTCGTGTAAAGGCAAAGACAAAGTATACATCAGTTGTAAAGAACAATGCCTGATAAAGACATGCTGATTCGATTGTTCTACAAACTCGATACCAGTGGTGACGGTTCAGTTTCACGAAAGGAACTATTCGAAGGACTACAGAGGGCTGGAGTTTCACCAACCATTTTACAGGTAAATGTCAATACGGCGAATTTTAGAACCTAGCAAACATTTCCTATTCCTATATTTGCTGTCAATATAATGAAGGGAATTATATATATATATATATATATATATATATATATATATATATATATATACATAATGTCACCCTTGGACGATTCATTTGTCGTCTTCTATTAGGATTCCATTCGATCTATGATGGCCTGGCAAGAGATGTTAATCGATGGTCTCCCCAGTGTGCACCCTATCCATCTCCACTTTCTCCCACAGTCTGTTGAACGATAGGTTTTCGGTTAGTTTGTTTCCGGAGTTTCTTGTTGCTAATGTCTTTCTGACCAGCTAGCAATTTGATCTTCTATATCGAGCCAGCGAATGTAACTGTTGATAAAAGTCTGCAACCTGTTGGAAATCCTTTTTCGGTGACAGGCTGACCGAGTTTCTGACCCATAAAGAAGAATTGACTGATTTCACATTGGTGTTGAAAAACTGGATCTTTTTCTTAATGCTGAGTTTTGCAGAAGATTTTCAAAGTGAATTTTGATTGATGAATGGGTGTATCCTGCCTTTCCGATTCCGGCTGACTTTGGCATCCTCATCCCTTCTAGAATTTCTGTAGTTGAAATGGTGTTTCCTAGACAAGTGAAAGATGTGACCTCTTTTCAGTTTATCCCGTTGATGACGAGTGATGCTGTTTGTTGTCGCTGTTGGTCTGTCATCTTCATCACCACCATATTTTCTATATTCGCAATAAAATGTAGATAAGGTGGGAACCAAAATATTATGATTGTGTGATAGAAAGTCGATAACTCATTGACACAAAGAAAAGTTTCATTTAGTCCGTAGTCTGAAAGCATTGTAGAGTCTTCAAAAGCTGTCTGTATCAAACCTGAGTATCAAGATAATTTAATTCAGTACAAGTCATTTCTTTTTGATATTGTACGAATGGATTATACACCAGTATGTTACCTAATATACTGGTGATGACTCCATATAGAAGAGGATGTGCACATCTTGTACGTTTCCTAACAGGTCAAGTGTATTCAAATGTAGCGATTCACCAAAGGTCCTTTAATAATAGTATTAATAGCTTTATTCTGCACAATAAATTAAAACAATAGGCACAGATTACAGCGTAGTTTGTTGGACAACATTTTCTTTTCATCTAGGAGTTTCAAGTAAAACAGCCATCTCCAGTAGATCGTGTGACGCAACGCTGTTCGATCCAAAGCACAAAATAATCCTTTATGGTGTTTTTCTTTGATCACCCAAAACTGAGCAACAGTAGTTTGCAAAACAATTAAATAATTAAAGGAAATTAGATGCACTGTCCCGCATAGAAATTCAGATTGCCCACTGATTCAAACAGGGTGTTATTATCTAAATAGGAGATGGCATCTACGCTTCCATCGGCCTGTCACACGGCCACCACTTACAGACACTATCCTGATACCGCGCCGCATAGGGACGTGTGCCTGCTGGGTTTTACTTCTGGGCCGGTTCGCCCTCTTTAGTCGACCTGGGTAACCCATCCTCCGACGGGTCATCCACTCTGGCGCCGTACTCAGCATGGAGGCCCGATCAACAAGGGCACCCATATGCTGGAACTCCCGGTCCCCTGAAATTCCGCATCGTGGCCTCCAGGTAGCCAGATTACAACCATACGCGATAACCAAGTAGACAAGGGGATTTAAACAACTTTGCGAAAGAATTGATAGTAGAAATTCTTTAAAATATACAAATCACTGAAGTAACAACGGTTTGATGATGCTGTATTTGAAACGCATTTCCAGCAAGATACAAACGTTTATCAACAAGTGCTTCGAGATAAAATGACCAGAAGAAATTAGTAACACGGGAATCAGTAAAAAAACCAACCAACAACCAACAACTTTTCAACAAATATGCAGGTGAAAATGGAGATAATGGACTCAAACTAAAGAGACACTAGGCAACCACTCGAAAGAATCCAGATGCGCAAGGACGAGTTGGGCGTGAGGTCTGACCGTAACATGGGGGAGATGGAATGAGAAGAAGGAGGGGGCTTATGGAAAGTCGTGGAACCAGATGAAGACGACTACAGTGAACACAGTGAGATGGAAGTGAGCTGTTGAATCCCGACATTCTACTTGGAACCCAATGGAAACAGAAATTATTGTAATACCATTATGTTAAGCAACTTAAAGGGTTCTCAGTTCAGTTCACCCTTTGTAGGGAAACGGTTCTAGCTATATGAGTGACGTCTTAATTCAGAAATGCGTAACACACTGGCAGTAAACAAACATTCTGACAGGCTATTAGAATTTTATACAATATCTGATTAGAAATATGTGCTTCTGTTGTTTGAAGCGCTTTGGCTAAAAATATGAGGATTTGTCGTTAATTTCTATCTTTTTATTTAAAATGTTAAGCATAACTCATAAATTACTGCAAAAATCTCACTATCTTGTCAGAATCAGGTTCTGCACTTTGAGACGATCGATTCTTAGTTAGAGACTGAATAAAAGTGCTAGTACATACCCTTGAGAAGCTTTGAAAAAGTTTAACTTCACATTCTAGATTTCATCACTCGTCAAATGTATCCAAGAATTGTGTCGGAATGGGACTGATTTGCATTTTGTTATATCAACCCTTGTTGGGCAATACATTGAAGCTTAAGATGTCTGAAAGGGATTTTTGATAAGATTTATGGTTTCAATGTTTATTAGCTCCACTGAAAGATGTGTAATTATTCTTCTACCTAACCCACTTAATTCACTCTCAACGTTTAATGTATTGCAATAACCTCCTTCTAATTCTTCTGTTTTTGTTCATATTCTTTTCCTTTCAAAAAGAGACTGATGGAACGTCTTGATTTAAATGGGGATGGAGTAATCACACTCTGCGAATATAAAACAGCCATCGGGGCAAATAAATAATGAGAAGGCAATAGACTTTTCTCTATGCATAATTTACGTTGAATTCACACATGCAGCATTGACATTCCTGAGATTTTGAAGGTGTTTTTATGCTGTTCTCTTGGCTAGCTCATTAGATTTATTCACAGAAAGTTGGGGTTCATCAATTTTATCGCTGTATAATAACTTAATTTATAGTCACTATCTTTTCTAGCAAATATCTTTGAATTATACTTTAAATGACTTTTGTTTTACTACACAAACAACCAAGATAGCAGACGTGTGAAGCTTACAAATTTTATCAGTATTCATTTTTACGTTAGTTTGTTTGTTGGATGTCCATAGCACGAAACATTTCGATTACGCCTTTAATCACTTGCGGAATACTGTGAATATCTAAATTATCTTTAATTTAAGGTATGCAAGAAGACCAACTAGATTATATAAAGATCATTACGGAAAGCAACCCTTCAAAGTCGATAAGCTTCCTTCTTTGTATTAAAGCATAACAATCAAGAGATTTGAGAGGAAATTACGTCGGGACTGAAGTGAAACTGACTGATATAACATAATCAACATAATCTAGTAGGCTTCAACCAAAATTAAAAGAAGGTCAGTCAGTATCACTGTTACAAGGACAATAGGTGTAGCTGTTGGAGAAGAGAAAATGGAAAAAATTTAAAAATTTCTGAAATGTTCAGACAAATTATATCCTTCAAAAATTCAGTGATTGTGCAAACCTCTTCCGCATGCAGGGTTCAGGAAACAGCATATGAACTGCATGACTTCTGTAGTTTTAAGGTGTACGATTTTGACGAGATTCCCGTGTACTTTCTAAATATTTTTGAAGCTGATTTGTGCGAATCGATAAAGTGTTCCAGGACAGATCTCCAGGTGGAGGGGGTTGTGAGGTCATTTTCCTTCCCTGTAGCACAGTGATGGTAATTGCCGGTCAGTAGGTTTGTATAAGATACATTGTGTCAAAGCTGAAATATATACATCAGTTTAAGAAAAATTTATCAGTCCAATTATTGCAGTGATTGCAACGATTGTCAGAGGAGATACTCGGGTCAAACAAGGTAGAACGGTGTCAGTCAGAATAATGGAGCATAAAATCTTACCAAAATCTAGATTAGTAGTCCCCAATAAGATAAGAAATGTGGAGAATAATTCGTGGAGCTTTGTTTCTCCAATCAATCGAGATTACATGTAGTATGGATGATTCAACACCCCAATAGTCGGATATAAGGAAAATTCTACTGCTCCTGCAACGAATGAGAAAGAAGAAATATAACTATAAAAATGAAGTTTTGAAGTTGTGTCTTCACAACTGATGACTACATTACGAGCAATAAATTGTGTCTCAAATGTCATCAAATTAACATTACTGTTTTCTTATGGGATATCCTCAGCAAACATATCACTAAGCGACCACGCAAATTATTTATTTTGTTTATGTGAAGAGATTATTATTATATCCATTAGTTCCTAGAGAAACATAGGGCTTCAGCTGCGCACCTCCATTTCCTTCGGTTTTCTGCCAACTTTTTCACTCCGACCCAAATCTGCCCACATGCTTTCATCTCCTCCTCGCATGACCTCCTCCAAGTCACCCTTGCACTGACGACCAACCCACCACCCGCTTCTCTTTCGGGTTCCACTCGAGCAATGGCTTGTCTAGTGATGTCACTTGATGGTTTCCTCAGAGTATGGCCAGCCAAACCATCTCCATTTCTTCCTGCCTATTTGTTTCACAATCGGTTCCTGGTTGGTTCGCTCATTGCCAGAGATCCCTGTTGCTGATCATTTCTGGCCGGCCATCTGATCTTGAGTATTGAGCAAAGACAACTGTTGATGAAGGTCTGAAGTTTGTTTGAGATGCTGTTTATGACGCGCAGTGCAAGTCTCTGATCCGTATGGTGAGTAGCACTGACTGACTTCACGTTGGAGTTGAAAATCCGGATCTTATTTTTGATGCTGAGTGCTGTTGACCTCCACACAGACTTGAGAGTAATGAAAGCCTGCCTTGCTTTTCCGATTCTGGCTTTGATATCCTCGTCAGTTCCATCGGCCTGTAGTTGAAACGATGCTTCCAAGGTAGGTGGGTAGGTGAAGGAGGTTGTTTCTTTCAGGTTCCTCCCATTTATGCTGGCTGATTGTTGTCTGTTGTTGTGGCTGTTGCTGTTGGTGTCGGCTAGGAATCTTCATCACCCTCTGTTTTATCTAGGTTCACTTGGAGTCCTATCTTTGATGCTTCTTCCACCAGCTTGTTGCTTTTCACTTGCATATCTTCCGGTTTGTAGGAAATCAGACATATATCATCGGTGAAGTCCAGATCCTGCAAATTCTATTTTGTGTGATTCCATTTTATGCCTGTTTCCTCATTGCCCGCTGCTGTTTGTCGCATTATCCAGTCTACTGCAATCAGGAAAATCATTGGAGATAGTAGGCAGCCAGCTTGTCTTACTCCCGTCCTCACTTCGAAGGCTTCCATTAGTTTCCCGTTGTGGATAACTTGGCATGCAGCATTGTCGTATAACTGTTGGATGAGATGTATAATTGTCGATGGTAGCGAAGTAGTTGCCAAATCAGATGTCGATAGACGCTGCACTATCGAAGGCCTTTTCAAAGTCGACGAAGTTGAGATAGAGAGGTGACTGCCATTCCAAGCTTTGCTCAATGATGATTCGTAGTGTGGCGATTTGATCAATACATGATTTGTTTCTCCTGAATCCAGCCTGTCCTGGTCGGATTGTTGCATCCAGGTTGACTTGTTTGATTCTCTTCAGGATGATGCGGCTTAGTATTTTGCTTGGAATGGACAGGAGCACAATTCTGGGCCAGTCTTTGCATTGACTTAAGTCTCCCTTCTTTGGTAGTTTGAATAAGTATCCTACCTTCCAATCCTCAGGTACTTTGCCCTCTTTCCACACCTTCTCCAGCAGTTGCGTCATCATGTCCGCTGTTGTCTCTGGGTCGATTTTCAATGCTTCTGCTGGGATTCCATCTGGTCCTGGTGCTCTCCCAGCTTTTAGCATCTTGATTGCATTCAGGACTTCTGATTTCGTCTGGGAGTCAATGTTCCCTGGTAGTTCTGCTTCCGTTGTTGGTATTGTTGTGTGCGTTGTAGGTGGCGGTCGATTTAGAAGTCTTTTGAAGTGTTCAGTCCAATGTTTTCTTTGATCTACCTCTTTGGTGATTGGCTTTCCATTGTCATCCTTTACTGGCTTAATCTGTGTCGAACGTTTTCCCGATAGGTGCCTAGTTGTTTGGTAGAGTGTGGCGAGGTCTCCTTTGCCTGCAGCTTGTTCCGCTTCACTTCCCATGGTTTCATAATATTTTCTTTTGTCTTCTCTGGCACTCTTCTTTACTCTTTTGTTCAGTGTATAGTAGCTTGAATTCAAGCCCTGTTTTTGTTGCTCGTCAGTGCACTGGATAATCTTTTGTTTCGCTGTCCTTCTCTCTTCTCTTAGTCTCCAAGTGTCCACAGTGAGCCACTGTTTGTCCTGCCTCTTCTTTCTACCTAGAAGTTCCATGCAGGTTTGGCTCCACATCGTTTTCAAGTTTTCTCAGTGCTTTTCGACGCTGACCTCTTCGCTGGTGTTGATTTGTGTCTCAGCTTTGTCCTTTACGCTTGCAATGAAGATGTCCTTTGTAGCCTGGTCCTTCAGCTTTTGAGTGTTGAACTTGGCTTGTGGTCTGTCTGCACCTCCTCCTTCCCTGAAAGCTTTTAATTTGATTTGGATTGTCCCTTGTACGAGATAGTGGTCTGAGCCAACGTCTGCTCCTCTTCTTGCTTTTGTGTCCAGTAGGCTGCGCCTCCACTTCCTTGAGCACCATTGAGATGAAGTCAATTTGGTTTTTGGTTTGCCTATCTGGTGACACCCATGTAGCCTTGTGGACATCTTTGTGTTTGTATACACTGCCACCAATCACTAGTTCGTTGAAGGCGCAGAAGTCGGCGAAGAGTTCTCCATTTTCATTCATTTCTCCGAGAGCTTCTCTACCCATGATGAGTTCCCTTCCTGAGTTGTCTGGTCCCAGTTTGGCGTTCATGTCTCCCATTAGTATTTTCATGTCGCCAGCTGGAGTATTGTCCATTGTTGCCTGTAGTTGTCTGTAGAATTCTTCTTATTTTTCGAGGTCTGCGTTGTTTGTGGGTGCATAACATTGTATGATTGACACTTTCCTTCCTTTGGAGTTGAATCTGGCGGTCATTATCCTGGACGAGATCGCCTCCCATTGCATCAGGGCCTTTGTTGCCGTTGGTGACATCATGATAGCCACGCCCTCGGTGTGCGTGTGGTTATCTTCTGGGTGACCGGAGTAGATCACTGACTCACCCGTTGACAATTTGGTGAGTCCATTCCCATTCCATCTGCTTTCACATATTCCCAGCACTAGGATTCCGTATCTTTTCATCTCGTTTTCGATCTGGGCAGCTTTCCCTGTCTCGTACATATTGCGGAAGTTCCATGTTCCCACACAGACTTTTTCTTTTGGTGCAAAGAGTTTCATCGTGCTGAAGGTTCTGTAGCAATATTGTTTGCGGGGTGGGGTTGCTAGCCTCACGCCTGAGAAAGGAATGGTTACATTAAGTTAAAGTTTAGAGAGAAGCGATCTCTTGTGTTGCTCCCCTTAAAATCAGATAACAAGAAATAAAACAATCAGAACAACACCAACAAAAGGAAAACAATTCACAGCAAAAAGGGCAAAAGGCGACAACAACGATACAATAAAACAACATGCAACATAGTTCAGCACAGTTAACTAAAATGATACCAAAATCACAGACTGACTGACTTGGGCCAACTTGAACATATAAATCTAATGATATATACAATTATACGTATGGGTTGTTTTTAAAAGATACAAATGTCCAAAAAACTCTGTTATAGGTATTAGTAGTCAGTAAATAGTAAATCCAGGGTTTAAGCGTTCGAAAGTTAACGGGATTCAATAATTTCCAGAACTTCGTGGTGAGCAATAGTAAAGAAATGAAAGTTTTATAGTTTACTGCAAAAAGTGACGCACTGAATCGAAAGGTGCGCAGAAAATTAATCCATGTGAAGAGAATAGTAAAGTGCAAACTTGAAATTATATATTAGTTTTACTTATTTGGAGAAATATTAAGGAATATTCCGAGTGACAGAGGGATTTAAGATATGGAAAGCGATAAGGTGAAGTTATTCAGTCACAAATTATATGACAAGTATGGAACAGATTTTATCGGTTAAAACATTAGCAAACTTTAGTTAATTGGTAGACTATATATACATATGTATATATATATATATATATATATATATATATATATATATATGCATGACTGCAAAATCAGACAAGGGCAATACAACAGTAGTTA